TAGAAGTGGAACCGTATTGTCCACTTTGTCGGTGTCGATTAAAGGTTGAGGGTTTGTGCCTTTATTTCATCATTGTTCAAAGAACTTCATAACATTATGTGCGGTTTCTGTATCTAGTGAACAATCCAATAATTGAGATAACGTAGCTGCCGATATATTAAAAAAAGTTTGAAATTCTTCTTGCAAGACATAACAATCTACGAAATAAATAAAACTTTGTAAAAGATTGATTTTTGCATTTATAAATTAAGAATTATAACATACCATGCAAACGAAGTTTTTTTGTTCCAGCTGACATTTGAGATACTAAATGAACCCATTTATTTGTACTTGTTAAATTGGTAGGATCATTTATTTCTTGTACTTGTTCCTAAGACAGAATAGATTGAATAAACATTTTGAATTGTTACTCTGGACTCGCTAAAACCAAATAAGATTTAAAGTTACCTTTTCGAGACCTTGAACATAAGACTTGTTATCATGACACAATCCCTCAGAAATTATGCGCATCAAAGATATTGCTTCTGTTGGATTGTGAGTAGGCAAGATGCTATTGGCAATGTTACACATCAAAAGTCTGCATAAAGCAAAATTTTAACTTGCGAAATATTTATACTAATCAGACAATAACAAAATATTACATACATAATTACCTCGTTTGAATATCATATAATATTAAAGTATTTTCATTTTCAATATGAACCAGCAAGAACACTTTCTTATGGCGTTGATTTGCTTTTTTGATTCTTTTAATATAATGAAACGAGAAATTAATGAAATAATTAATTAATTAATTACACTAACAAGACTTTCAAAATTTACCGATTAACCAAGTTTCGAATAATATCTTTTTTGTCATTTTCAGAGTTACAAGAGTTCCATTGTTCATTATTAAAACATAAAAATGTAATATTTAGCTTCGGAAATGTTATGTCCTAATGTAAACATAAGTATTTAATATAAATTATCTGATGAATTTAAAAGCAAAAAAAATTTTTTAATTTACTCCAGGAGTTGCTTGAGTAGCTTCAATATCTTTATAAAAGTTAAAAAAAAATCTACATAAATATTTTTCCAGTAAATTTTTTTTTTTTATAATTATGGCTGAAACAAATCCTACATCTTACGCGCCATCCAACATTTTTCATTTCATCTCCAACTTTTTGCCAATTTCCTATAATTCCTTTATTAAAAAGTGCTACAGGTTGTGAATTATTCTGCATATTTCGTTTTTGAAAACGTATGAAAAGAGAAATTTATAATATTAAGCTTATATTTTTTTAAACTTTTATTATTATATTTATTTTAGTAAATATCTTTGCGATTAGCAAATCATTTATTTATTTAATCAGATTTAGTTTAAAGTTTGGCTTATATATTTGCTATGTAAGCAATTGCCTCATCTGAATTTATTAGTGAAACAGTTAAAATTACCGGAATATTTGATTTTAATAAGAACAAAATACATAATATAATAATTCAGTAATTCTGATATACGTAGTAGAAAGCATAAATTTAGATGTTTGTGATTAGTTAATTAGCCTTAACTCATACAATTTTTACGAAAATTTTAGACGTTATATAACTTGTTCACGTAAAGCTCGAATCTTATTTATATAAGTTGTTTCATTTCGTTGTAAAATTTAAAAAATTAATATAATTTTATGTTATACATTAAATAAATAAAAATATCAAAAATTTTGTTTATACGTATAATAGCAAGCACCAAAAAATCCTATTATGTTACACGTTGAATTTTATTGGCCGTTGATCCGCGTTCATTATTACTTATAATCCACCCCTGAAAGTCGCGCGATTTTCTTTTCAATAAACAATGAACACTCAACAAAGAGAACTCACCATCTTTAATAATTCTTCAGCCAAAAGAAAGTTATATATAAGCTTAAATAATCAACTCGCGAGATTACAACAAAATATTATGATTATGGAGCAATCTATTGAAATTACTGTTGACCAACTTGAAAATATTGGAAATTTTGGATTATCGCATGGTGCTTTGTTAGTATCAAATAAAAATAAAAATTTTATTGTTGAAAATATTTTATTAATCAATGAAAATTTCATAGATTTATGGCTGCAAATCGCGTTTTACGTAGAGATTCAACTCGCACATCCATCAACCCGGAAACCGATAATAACTTGGAGTGAATCATGCTTATCCCGGAAACCGATAACTTGGAGTGAATCATGCTTATAATTTTTTTTCTGAACAAAATTTCATTGTTATACATCTAAAATTGTAATACTTCATTTATAACAAATAAAATTTTTCCTCCTTCAAACTAAAAGTAACATCTATTATCCGATCATTCTTTAATCTGCTTTTTTTGTTTAACTATATGGGAGATCAAAGATAGAAATCAGTCATGATGAATTTTTAAAGCTATTTCAAAAATTTAAAAAGAAATGAACTTCGAATCTCAAAAGTTTATTCACTTTTAAATTTTTTAAATATCTTTAAATTTAAAATCCATCAAGATACTTCTGTAATGCTCAATATTACAGTACATAATAAAGCAATCCAATTTTTAGTTAAAGGTACATTATAATGGTATCTTTACTGATCTCTTAATAGTTTTTACTGATCCTATTTTAATTTTGAACATGCTTAGTAACGATTGCAGAAGGAAAACGACGTCAAAATGTGGGTTTTTGTAAAATGTGGTTAGAAAGGTTTAAAGAAACATAGAAAAGATTAGAAAACTAACTGGGAACCTGCTTGCCAGAGTATAATGAAATTTCTCTAAAAAAAAAAAAATGCATAAAGGCGATGATAATATTCGAAGTTATAATTAAAACATAAACTATTAGCGTTAGAGTTTCTAATATCATAATTAATCAAAACTATAAATTTTCTAAAAGTTGTAGATCAGTCAGAGTATCAATTCATAGTAAAGAACAATTTACATATGAATTACAAATAAATTTCACATAAGATGATTTAAATAATTTTTTCTTGCATTTAATGTAAAAATTTTTTTCTGTACCAGGTTGGAACGTCACAGTGGCTAGTGAGTCTATTGTTTAGCGCAATCAATTAAAATACCAGGTTAGTGCGCCATAATGGCTGAATAATATTATATTTTTCAGAGATCCTTGTCGGAATGATTTTAAATTATATTGTCATTTTATCGTAAAATACAGCGAGTACAGAGATATAAATTAATTTATTATAGGTTAGATTATGTGAAATTTTTCGCTTTGTTACGTACGTGCATAAATAAATATAATATTATCTAGTCTTTAAAAAAAACATTTATATTCATAGATCCGAATCATTATGATAAAATTTGTAATTTTTTCTGTTTCAATAAAATTCTCAATAAAATTTTGAATTCAAACAAG